CACTATGAACTCACGGAGCGGTTTTCACCCGCGTCTACCGCGGGACCGCAGCATCTGTAGAGTGTGACAGTTAAGTATGTAAAATTAGTAGCACATTTCACGGCGCGTTTTACGCCTGTAGTGGAGATGGTTGCTCGCGGTTTTTCGTGGTTGCCGCGGCGGGGTACTGGTTGAACCGCGCAGGCCGCGTTCACCTGCGCGCTTGGCGACTGTCGTCGCCCGCGCATTTTGGCGGTCGGTTCACTCGCAATGTGGTGCAGCGCACGCGGTGTGAGTTCTTTATTAGTCGCGCGACTTGCGATTAACGTCCACTAACTTCGCGGTCCGTTCCGCAATCGCAACGGTTTCGTGCCCGCAATCGTGGCGGCTATGTATCCGCACAAACTTGCAGGGTCGTGAGTATTGAAATAAAACCGTTGTCTAGCAGCACCGGCGGGCGCGGATGGTAACCGCTCCGTGAATTGTTAACCTTATTAACCTTAAACTGACGCTACTCAACGAAGGATGTTGTTCTTACCTAATCGATAGTCCCTTCTTTTATTTGGAACTCATTGGAAAAACTTAAAAATTAAAAATACTCAATGTTTGGTCTACGAGTATAATGGAATTTAAATATCAAAAAACAATAATACACATACATTTTTCTTCAGGCTACAGCAACATTCAAATTGACATGAAATTGAAACGGTTTTCCGAAATATGAGTTGTGTTAAAGTTACTCGAAATAAAATGTTTAGAAATAATAATAATAATAAAATAAAAGAAATCAATTTAACGTTTAACGGTTAACTTTTAGCTTCGATATTTTAGGGACTTTAATTACAAAAATCATAGTAAGAAATTCAAACATTTCAGTAAAAATTTATTGTCGATAAACATCAGTCATCGTAAATGAACATCACTATATTTGACTCTCGAAATTTCTATGGAGACAAAAAGAAAACATTGAATAATAATAGAAATAGTAACTAAAAATGCAAATTGCCGCTGGAATGTTATCTCACTGGTTTTAAAATTTTAATTTTCACTCTAATTTTTACAAGGTGTATCGCTACAAATTTTCACGTTTTACGAGAGATCTTGTATGTACAAAGATCGCCATGTCACTGTGACGATGTTTGTAGGCGTGTCACCTCGATATGATCATTTTGATCATATCGAGGCGACACGAACCACGCCCCCTTCCCAAATCTCCCATTTTTTCTATATCTACGGTCCAACCTATCTTTATACGATTCTGTGCCTCTGAGTAGTTACAGTTGCATCGATGCAAACGCGCGATAAATCAAAAGTGTAGCAATACAATCGCGTTTGTATCGATGCCATCGTGTTTGCATCGCTGCCGTGTGTAACCACTCTCTACCACGAGTTTACTGTGACAGTTGCTAGTAGTTAGCGACCGCGTAAATTACTTCACAATGCTGTATGGCAAATTCTACAGCACCTCTAGTCGTCACATGGAGAAACAACATTTTGTATGCTAATATTTTACGCGATCGCTAGCGAGAACTGTCGCTGTAATCTCGTGGTAGAGGCACAGTGAAAACGTAATAGACAGAGTTACTTTCGTATTTATAATATTAGTTTAGATGTGCTCAAATAATTGGATATAATTAAATGTCCTCCATTATAGCTGAAGGCTGGAACAAAGCAAAATCGTCTGTTGTATTCCATTTATGTTTTGAAACGACTGTCAGCCGAATCGTGTTAATTGGTGTTCCACATACAGTGCGAAATGTGGACCGGTTATGTTTGTTTAATTATTTTTATATATTTATTGTGTTGTTGTTTTTATTTTCTCCCACAATAAATCATTGTAAAAGGAAATCAGGGCTTAAATATAAAATTTTTAATTTTTTTTATAAAAAACAAGTGCCCATTTGACCTCCATCTCACCTGATGGAAAGTGACGATGAGGGCGAGGATGTAGCATGCACACCTAAATAATGCATATTCACTCTCGCCTTGAAAAGGTCCAAGTTATAGCGTTCGGGGAACAAGTCTGCAGGCAGGGAATTCCACATTCCACTCCCTAGCGAAACGCTTCGTGCGAATCCCAGAAATATCCACAACATAGGGGTGGAACCCCCGCCCACGTCTAGTCTCCCGATGATGGAAAGGGGAAGGCGGAATCAAATTATGCAATTCCATCGCACACTCTCCGTGATATATCCTGTTGAATACCGATAAGCTGGCAACTCTACGGCGGTGTTCAAGGCTCTGCAGCTTCGCCTCTACTAGTTCCGAGTCACCTATAAGCCTCTTAGCACGGTTGTCTATTGAATCCAAGGTGGCCAGTTGGTATTTAGCACAATCATCACATAAGTGGCAGCAGTACTCCATACACGACCGGACTTGTGCTTGGTACAGCTGAAGCAACTGTGTGAAGTATCGCCTCACCTTGGAAAGGATGCCAAGCTTCTTGGCTGCATTTTTGGCCATGGATTCAATGTAACTGCCGAAGTTCAGATTCAGGTCCGAGGTCCATTCCAAGTAGGTGACGACGGTCAGCTATCGCTATGGATATATCACGAAAAGTCGGAGTCAGGTGAAAGGGACTCGGTTTAGTGGAGAAAAGACACGCCTACATTTTGGTAACATTAAATTTGACAAGATTGGCATCGCCCCAATCGGAGACTGCCTTAAGTGTCAAATACAAACGACTAACCATGGACTCTCGACAAGACTGGATTTCTTCTCCACTGACCCTTGCACTGGTACCTGTCCACAACTGTGCTGTCATCAGCATACCCAAAGGTACCTGAATCAACGTATCGTTTATATGCAGCAGAAAGAGGGTTGAGACAGTACAGAGCCCTGAGGAACTCCGTCCGCCGCTCCGCCGAATCTATCGCCCTATGTTCGGAAGAGTAGCCTTCTAAGACCACTCGAATCGAAAGTTCACTCAGGAAATCCGAAATCCAATTGCAAAGGTCAGTGGGAAGCCCATAAGAGGGAAGCTTGCTTAAAAGGCTTGCGTGCCACACCCTGTCAAAGGCCTTAGAAATGTCTAAAGACACAACAATGGCTTCGCCATGCTCTTCTATAGACTCGCTCCATAAGTGAGAGGCATACACAAGAAGATCCCCAGTAGATCGCCCTCTTCGGAATCCGTACTGGCGATCACTGAGTAGATCGTTGTCGTCAAGGTACGACAGGAGACGTAGCACTAGAGCTACTTAAATATTTTATGTAGAGCTTCTAGTGAAAAAAATCGTCCAGGGAAGTACTGCCACCTTCCCTATTTCTGCAGTAGTTGAAGGGCAAGGGTGCTGGTGAAATCACAGGCACATGGGACTTGTCAACTTATGTTACAGAGTGTCGGGCGCAGTGGCAGTGCCTCTCGGATCTTTATGATTTGAGGCTCTGAGTGGCACTGCAACAGTTATGAACAGGCGTGTCGCTTACCAATAGGCACACGACTTGTTCGTCCCGTCACTTAGTATTTAAAAAAAGTTTGTAATTGAAATATAAATTGAAATATGTATTTTTATTTAACATACTCTGTTACTGAATGGTTAGGATATACAGAAACGCGCGACCGTTTAAATAAGTAACTATATAATATACCTATATACCTATCCATATATCCGTATCTATATGTATGTCGGAGCCAGCTATCACTTCAAACGTAATTTGTTAGATAAACGATTTACCAGGCTGCTTACGAATAATTTTAGCTAGTCTCGATCATGGTTTCTTTGTTTACAAATGTCGCCATCCCAGTTTGAGCTATTAGTTCGACAGCTCAAACTGGGTATGGTCGGAGAGAGGGGGCTTTTTGTGTAAGTTGATTGGACAGTGAAGACGTTCGCTCTCTTTGAACTTGCCGCGTGATATTTAGAATCCGTTTTAACCTCATCCATCTCTTATACTTTCAGACTAATTACCGTGAAAAGTGCAAGAAAGAACTAATTGCAATCAGTTGACATTACTATTTCACCGCCGGCTGAACGAATTGATAACGAAGAGTGAAAAAGCCGATTATCAGTAATTCCTGACTAAATATGCTTTGAGGGTGTTTCCTTGGACGTCTCCCTTTCCAGCCTTAACTCCGACATGTATATAACTGCAGTGCATCTACTTGCTCTGTAAATAGTAATTAATTTATTGCATACTTATTATACATTTTATTTTAATTTTAACTGCCTCTGTGGTCGAACGGTCACCATGTTGATCTGCTACACAGAAGTCCCTGGGTCAATTATAAAAGAAAATATGTGTATGATGTGTATTTCTCTCGTGAGTTTGGGTGTAATTTGTGGTTATCTATGTGGGCGTCCATGGTACCCGCCATATAAGGTTTTACTGGTGCGTGGCTGTGGTGTATGCGTTATTATTATTAATTGTGTACTTTTATTACGTAAAGATCATAAAATATGAATTCATAATCAAGTCACGTGCCTGTTTAATCATAATGACCATAAAACAAAATAAAACAAAACATGAAAGCACTGATTAAATTTTAATTTCAGTTTAATATACAGAAACGTCATTTGTAAAATTACAATGTTCATTTGTATGCTTTTATTTCCCTTAGATTATTCTGGAACACTGAAACATATTTCCGACGAATTAATAGAATGAAAACAACTAAAAAGGTCTTGACAAATTCTCGCTAATGGGACAAGGGATTATGTTCTTTGTATAAATGGTATTTTTTGTTCAGGTAATTTGAGGTCAATGTACCGAGTACGAAAACGTTTCTAGAAATATTTAGACATAATTTATTCCTTGAAAAACAACACATTACACATCGTCGTCTAAATTTGAACGCCGCAATATCGGGCGATTAAAGCTTGAAATATAATTTGTAGACGCTTTTATAGTTACATAACAAAGGTACAATCATGGACTACGGTCATATAGTTTATTTCTAGTAATTCTGTTTTACCTGCTCAAAAGTTCACATTAATGGAGGTACGAGGCTTATGAATTGAGCATTACAATTATGGATTATAATCCATATCATGTTATTTCTCTACGGCGTTTTATTGCAGAATGGTGTAACGGCTTTGCAAATGGCCTGCGCGCAGGGCTGCAGAGGGATCGTTGAGCATCTATTGGCGTTCGGAGCCAACGTGCATTTGCAAAATAATGTAAGTGCGTTTCGTTAAATAACTTTAATGTAACGTTTGGCATGATTTGCTACAAAACGTTGGTTTGAATCCACCCGCATCAACAGAATTTTTTCTAAGTGTTCGATCTTTGTATTAATGATTATAACAAACTAGTAGAGTAATTTCACCAAAAAAAAATTTATATCATGGTGGTGACAAACATCACCAATCACCTTAATAATTTAATAACTTTGTTTGTTACTTATACGGGGGCAGAATATCTGTCAGAGATAAGTTCGAAGAGAAAAGTAAACTTGTAAGTTTCAGGATATCAGGTAGGAATAAAATATTAATATTTATTTTTGATCCCCTGTATTGGGGATCCGATGGCAATGGAAAATAATTGGGTAGTTGGTAGTTGAGTTGGATAGTCAGCAGACTATCCTGGTTGCAGCATTGGATCAAGGCTCAGCAGCACTGCCTTGTGTCTCAATTTTTTTTGTACTTGTTTAAATTAGATTTTAAGAAAATACTGTAGGAGATAATATATATTATTATTATTATTAAGCTCCACAACCATACCATAGTTATAGTTATATCATTTACTGCATTATGTGGGACAGAAAAAGGTCTTAAAATTATTACATGTTCATGATAAACCCTTTAAGCGCACTGCAACTTTACTAAGTACATTATCTATTTTCATTATCTATTATCATTATCCACTAACATTCTTATCTATTTATATATTAACCGATTAAGTAGTCAAAAAACTCCTGTATATTATTAAAAGAGTTCGACAGTAAGAATTTTTCAATTTATTTGTAAACATATCGCACAGCAATAGTGCATAAACTCAAAAAGTGCTTTTTTCAGAATTTATAAAAAATTTATTGCTCATTTCAAGTTAAATATTATTAATTCAAAATTCATATATAGGTCAAAGTTTATTACAGACATGTAAACAATTTCCTACATACCAATTATATTTAAAAGTAATTTTAAAAAGAGAGGATGTGGGTTATGTTTTTTTGTATCTAATGGAGCAATAAACATGTTTGACGAAACTCCACCTATGCCATTCTTCCATGAGCGGGGCGTATGATCGTCGTTTTGACACAGTATACGATGTATGTACATGGTAACATTAGAAATTCCAGTGCACTCTTTTCTTTTCCATAGCGAATTATGTTCTTTACTCTTTCCGGAAATGAAAGTGCAAACCCCTTTTAGACGTTTGCTTTTTTACACATCTCACCTGACGTAAAGTGACGACGTAGTCACTTAAAGCGCAGACCATTCTGCAAGCGAAGCTAAGTTAGCTTTCTTATTTTATGATTCCAAGTGACAGGACAAACAAGTCGTACGCTTGATGTTAACTTACACGCCTGTCCATAGGAGTTGCAGTGCCACTCAGAGCTTTAAATAGCAATGATCTGAGGGACACTGCCACTGCGCCTGTCACCCTGAGACATAAGTTCACAAGTTTCATGCGCCTATAATTTCACCAGCACCCTTACCCTTCAAAACCGGAATACAGTAATGCGCACATACTGCTTGGCGGCAGAAATAGGTAAGGTGGCAGTACCTCCCTGGACGAACTCTTACACTAGAACATCTACTGCTACTAAACTTAGCTCACGGAGCTGCATTCAAAGCTAAGTGCTGCCGCATAAAACTCGACTCATAAAGCACAAAATCGTAGTTTCAAATAAAATATGTGACTTATAACAATGAGATAATAGATGGCAAAAAAAATATAAATGAGAAAGAGAACTGTATGTTGTGCACTGAGAGATTATAATCGTATGATTTGGAAATCGTAACATCGATCAAATCATTTGAATAGCGCCATTTCTCTATCACAGCTATTGGTATTGCATTGCACACATATTATAGTTCAGTTAGCTCGGTTAGCTTAGATCGAGATGTGAACATGAGGTGTACTCCCGTTCGTCGTCCGACATCTGTCTGAAACAATTATTGTCAAATAAGTAATACTCGACCAAATTAATGATGATTCGCTTCGCTGGCGGTGTGGGCTGCGCTTTACGCGTTTGTCTGGTAAATGCGTATTCACTGTATTCCATTCCTTTGCCTTATGCATCAGAAAGGATGAAGCAAAGCGCTCCATACGAATGGCTATAGATAATGTGTACGTTTGCTTGTCCCTGAGAACACTGGCTGGGCAATGTAATGCATGACGTAACACTCCATCCACTCTCGCCGACGACGGCTCTTGTGATACTGCTGGCGTATACACGAGATAGTGTGTAGGTATATCAAGTCGTGTACACTACAGTGTGTTACGTGACGTCACTTTTTTTGTCACATTTGCGTCTTAACTGAAATTCAGCGCTGGGAACACATCACGTGTTCTAACATATAATAATATTGAGTTAGAGACTCTTTTGTTACCGCGTCTGGCACCACATATTGTAAATAATCTTTATTTTAATTTAATTTAGTTTTTGTTGTAGTTGTGATTTTGTTTTGTAAAATTACTTATTTGTGTTTTGCATGTGAAGGTTTGTGTTATGTTTTTTTCTGTTTTGTTTGTTTTTTTCTTGTGTGGTATTCAATTAATAGTAGATCGAAGGAGAAACGGTAACGGTAGAACTAAATTAATATTAAATTATAGTAAACACGCGACTTCGTCTGCGTAGAATACTTAAGTACTTCGATTAGACCATTGCTATACTAATTTTCATAGTTTTATTCCTTCTCCATACAAACTTTCATCCCCTATTTCACCTGTTTTAAGATTTATATTTGTGACAAAATTATCCTATGTCCTTCTCCTAGGTCCCATCTTATCATCGAAATTCATGTAGCGGATTAGGTATATGTGAAAACGTAACGGAGATACTTTCGCGTCTATAACATTAGTATCATTTGCCATACTTGCCGCCTTTAGAACTATTATGTTTTAATATGTAATATCTTCAGAGTCGATCCTACCTCAGCTCGAATTAATTTTTCCCGTGCCAGTAAATAGCCACGATTCATTTGGTTTGGGTCGAGCGGCAGGCACACTGGCGTTATTTCAGAATTATTTTTTTTTACTAATGTAATTAAAACCATTTGAAATTGTATGTCGAATAGTATTGAATATTTCATTGAATATAGCGGTATTCTTGTAAAATTCCGAGTTAAGTTTGTATTTTTTTCTATCGTGAAAATTTTATGAATCGTGTTTTTATAAAAATTTTTTCCAGAGTGATTAATTAATTCCACACATTCAATGTTCGGGAATCATCCAAAAACCATTTGAAGTTATATCGACTTTTAAATCTGCTGCAATTACGTTGACTCTCCCTACCATTAATTCTGGAACACGGTACTTTGGCTAAAAATAGGTAGGTAAGGTGCGGTGGTACTTACCTATATGTAACTTATTCAACAAACTTTGGTAAAACAGGTCGGATCGACGGCTCTGCACGCGGCTTGTGCAGCAGACGCGAATGACATCGTCGAATTACTGATGGCCCATGGAGCAGATCCCTCACTTACCGATCAGGTAAGTAATTTCTGAAGTTTTTTTTATGATACCAAACGACGGGACGAACAATTTGTGTGACGAACAAACTTCACGTCTACCCATAACAATCGCAGTGCTACTCAGAGCTTTAAATCCCCAAGAACTGAAGGGCATTTTAACTATGCATACTCTCGACCCAGAGTTATGTGAGACCGTCCCTCCAGTGGAGGGTATACCCACTAAAACCCCTCGGCGCACCCTCTTGGCCGGGCGTTGTATCAATATATAAATAATCTCTCTAAACGGCGATCATTTCGTGTGGCAACAAAACAAAGCGCTGACATAATATATTATACCAGTGTATGATGCAAACGCAGCGATAGCCGGAGGCGGGGGGGTCGTTGGGGAGGACGCTTTTGCACGTTTGATGTCGCCATCTTAATAATACCAAATACAGATCGAAAAAGTGTCAAACAGTACAACAAAAACGTAAATGTTTATTTTTGGTGAATTGTTGTTCATGAAGTTTGTTATAAATATAATCCTGGGAGGTTGTTAGTATTTTACAATAAACCCTGCATAGAGATGGTTACTATTCGATGGCGTAGTTTCTCAAACTCGTATCTTATAATACTTATAAAGCGATTATTCAGAAAATGGCAAAACTTACTATTGTAGCGCTGGTGAGCGGAGGGGGTGAGTAGAAATTGAGACGCAGGCGGAAAGTGCACAAGGCGTATATTAGATACACGACGAAACAAAAAGACATGCGGCTAGGGACCTAGCTGTATGTCTCACTATCATGAAAGAACACCGTTCAGTGCCAAAACCTTAGAAAAGCAGTAATAGGACCGAATCGTCTCAACAACTTGAGTGCCATTCAGTGCCGTATCAATGCTGTAGTGGTAGTAAGCATCAACAGTTTAAAACATATGAGATTACTTATACTATTGGAGTTAATAAAACGATAGCGCGTTTCAGAGTACAACTAATGCCATCTAGGGGTGGTGCGATGGAACTATTGGCGGGTTGAGGTTATAGTTATTACACTATTTATTTCAAATATTTTATCAAGGGTGTTAATTTGGATGCATTACTTTAAGAATGGGTAAAGCCAGTGTGGGAATATGAAGGAAATGTGATGAGAAATCAGTCTGCAAAATTTGTGTACACAATCCATTTTCTGCATTCCAGTAGCTTTGTGCTTTAAGATACGAGTTTTTAGAAAGTAAGGCGACGTATTGCTACATAGTTGTATACCGTAAAATTACACACATACAGGCACAGCTAGTGTAGAAAATAAAAAGGCAGAAGATATAATAGATTTAGTAGCAGTAGAGCTCCTTGTGAAAGAGTCCGTCCAGGGAAGTACTGCCTTACCTATTTCTGCCGACAGTAACAGTAGTAATGTCAGCATTACTGTGTTCCGGTTTTAAAGGGTAAGGGTGCTAGTGAAATTACAAGCACATGAGACTTGTTAACTTACGTCTCAGGGTGACGGGCGCAGTGGCAGTGCCCCTCAAATGTTTGCGATTTAGAGCTCTGAGTGGCACTGCAACTGTAATGGCGAGGCGTGGAGCTTACCATCAGACGCACGACTTGTTCGTACCGTAACTTGCTATTACAAAAAAAATGTAATCGGGTCCGCGCCTTGGTGCATTGTGAATACTTGTAGTTTTCCCCTTTTTGATTAGCTAGATAATTTAATAACGATCATAATTTATTCATTTATTACAGTTATAAAGGGAGAACAGTTGTTTTTCAATTGAAAGGTCCACGATTCAAATCCCAGTGAGGGCATGTAACACCTGTAATTTCTAACTTACATATATTTGTAGATGTTTACTAACAACATCACTAAAACATTGTTACTAACAATATTTTTAAATAGTCTTATTTGCTTTATTATGTAATTAATGTATCATTTATGTGTATACAAAATTTTAAAACGAACTATTAACTTAAACCTACTCCTATAGATGCAAGAGTGTATAGTATATAGTACGTATGTATCCAAAATAAGCTACACGAAAAATGGTTCAAGTTATTTATTATAAAATAAATAATAGACTGTACGGGAAACCCAAGGGCAGCTACCTTGCCCAACGCATTAGCATAGCAATACAAAGGGGGAAAGCTGCCAGCATCTTGGGCACCTTGCCGAGGGACCCAATTTTATTCATATAATTTAAAAATCCTAATTTTACTTTCTAGTAGTTGAGCTTTTATTGTCTTTTTTACCTTTTTGTTATATTATCTTAATTATACAAGTGTTTTACTGATATAATAAGAAACAAAAATGGTACAATTACGAAGGGGACACCCGGGTTTGAACCGGGGACCTCTCGATCTGCAGTCGAATGCTCTACCACTGAGCTATATCCCCACTATCAGAACGTGTGAAATAAACCTACACCACCCACAAGTTGTTAGACGGGTGACGTCATTCCTTTTGATAATACCGATTAGGTGTTAATCCGAAATTATTCATTCGTACTAGAAAAAGAATATATCTAATTTTATTTCTTTATTTACAAGATAATGAACACTTTATAAAGCGTAGACTTGATAGATCGGTATAATATCTACCGATAGAGTGTAGGAATTTATAATTACCGACGACGTATGTTACTTTACTTATGCAACAGAAGCCAGGTTTCACAACTTATACAATTTATAAACACAATACACCCATGTATTTTTCAGTCAAGCGTGACTCATTCCACTTTGGACCGTTCTTATCGTAAGCGGCGTAAAGTCTCTACTTTATTACTACTTAAAATCTTAAGTTACAAACTTGAAGTACTGTAAACCCTGTACCTACTAACGAAAAGCAAACCTTTGCGTAAAAACGAATAATTGCATAACTTTTTGAAATATCTTATTTGACTGAATAGAGTTCATTTACAACTTTTTGCTTTAAGTTGTTAAATATCCTGACCTTTAACCTTTATTGTTGCCAAGAATGATTGGATAAATTGAATAAGCATTCTTATTCTCATAACTATAGAAAGTCTAAGATTAAAATCGATTTAAGTTTAAACATTCTTACACTAGCGTTATAGTATATTTATGAAAATGTAGTTTATGTTAAAAAGAACAGTAATTTTTTAATAAAAATTATTGACAGACGTAACATTAATACGAGGAATAAAAATAAACTAGCTGTTCTTGACAGTCGTCTGCACAAAAACACAAATACATTTAAGAGACAATGAGACCTTTTATAATAAGATTCCGGTTGATATTTAAATTTGCCATTCACGAGGTTTAAAAATACAGTTTAACAAAAACATTATACCAAAGGTTCTTCACATTACACAGCTTCTGCGTACTTGGATCACAAACATTTATGGTAATGCCTGTTTAGCTCTCGCATATTTGAAATAGGTTAATATTACATACGTACACGCCCACGCTCACGCCCTTGTCCCACAGCAGGAAGGGTTGGCAAAGACTACGGAACGCCAGCACTTTTTTTTTCGTTGACGGCGGGGAAATCTTCGAAAGATACTCGGCGTTTCTGGGGGGAAACGCAATTTTTACCCCTTAAAACCTTCCCAATGGCCTTCCTCCGTGCATGTTCAGAGGCTCCGGGACCTCTAACTTCCGCCACCGGTGCCTCTTACGCACTACGCCTTCTTAGGCTCTGGCTCTTAGCCCTCGCCATCCCTGCCGGATTCGGCACAGCACAGTGCAACCACCACACTACACTGCCTGCCCGGAGTTGCTGTTTATATGGACTTTCAGAGCCCCCACTCTGGGCGTCCACAACTCCGAAGTCCCATTTTAGTCGCCTTTTACGACAGGCAGGGATTATCGTAACCTTATTCTTACACCCAGTACTACAGGGTTAACGGAACGCCACCTTTTTCTACCCTGACACAACTTTGAAGCCTCGCATACATCGACTACCCTTTTCATACAACTTATTTTATTCTTGTCACTTCGGATCCCAGCCTTTTTGAGGATCGCTGATCTGGTCAATGTAAGTCCTTCTGGGGCGTCCTCTTAAAACCGTTCCATCCACATTTGCATCATAAATCTGTTTGGTACGTGCCCAAACCACCTCAGCAGTCCTTTCTCTATTCTAGTCCCCACATTCAAGCCTCATCTTTCACGTATTATTGTATTCTTCACTCTATCACTCAACTTTTTAAATCAAATTTTCCCCAAAAATCTCATCTCCACTGCGTTAATTTTATTTCCAATTAAACATCCTTGTAGGAACCAGCGAAGCATTGTGCATGGACATGTGCAAATATTGGATATGATAAATGTTGACAAATGTTTATTCACAAAGAAAAACACCTAGAGTTTCTTGCTTATTCTTCTCAGGTGAATATACCTTACGAATGAAGTAGTAGACTTTAATCAATATAACGATATCAAGTGTAATTTGCCTACCTATGAAATAACAATTATTTGACTTTGATGCATAAAGACAAGTCTCATAATCCTTGAGTATTGCTCCTAGTATTCAATGCATAATGCATACTATTGAAAGAGCGTCACAATTTGTCTTCGTCGCCGATAACAATATGTCTTTGTCTCGTGACTCATAGAACAGATAAGGTAATGTTTGTACCGTGAATAGAGAGGTATAGAATCATTTATTTCATTATCAATGTCACATTTAAATTTAAAATACATTATCGAGACGTTATGATCATCACTAACTTAAATTGTGTGGGTGAAAGGTAAAGGACCTTAAGTCCATATTTTTAACCGACTTTAAAAAAAGAGGTTCTCAATTCGACTGTTTTGTTGTATGTATGTTTCGCGATTATTCCAATTTTGATGACTCTTTTTTTGGTGGAAAATGAGTACTCCGTAGTGTTGATCTCATTGAAATTTGACGAAAATATCCAACCCCTAAGGGTGGCAAACTAGGGGATGAATCCGGTTTCGCGCACTTTTCGGTAACCGATTTCAATAAAACTTGTGTAATTCCACAAATATTTGAGGCCGGTTTTTTTATTTATCTAACATATTTATTTGACCTTAACGCTCAAAAAAAAACAAAAAAAAGCGCTCTG